TATAAATAGCAAAAATATGAAAGAATATTACTTTTCAAATAAGATATTGATTAGTATCGCTTAAATATACCACTTAGTTTATTTTAGTTTGCTTTAAAAAAAACATATTTTTGTTTTAAAAGGATTTACACGTAGAAAATTATTTATATAATTATATATGATTATATTACATAAAAGATAATTACATTTTCTTTTACCAGATAGTTTTTCCAAGAAAAAAAATTTAATATATATTAATTCGCAATGTTCTTTAGAATATACTTTAGAAAACCCAAAATTATACCAAACTATTAAAAAATGAAATATACAATACTAAATTATACCGGAACTTACTACCAAAATATTATTAACAGTTTTATTGAAAATTTTTAATGTTTAACAATGGTTTAGAGCTTAAATATATTTAAATTGGTATAATCTAAATAAAATATCAGAGGAATCTATACAAGATATTATAAACAGCAAAAGGAATAAAAAAAAAAGCTATTTTTCAACTAAAATACAACAACTTCAATTTTTCAACTTTTTCGCTTAAATATAGTTTTTAATTTGCTGTGGTTTATAATAATTAAAATATTTTTTTAAAAAGAGATTTCTATGTAGCAAATGATTTATATAATTATATATAAACATTACATAAAAATAGTTATAGTTCTTCTTACCATATTTTTTCTCTAACTGAAACAAATACAGTTATTTGAGACTTCTTGATTTAGTGCTAGATACATTGCAGACATCTTTGCAGTTGTTTTCTTTAACACCATCTAAAATGTCTTTCACGCCGATATTGCTGGCCCAGTCATCGCTCACAAGAGTAGCAACAGCACGGGAGGCTCTTTTGATGTATTCAGATCCAGGAACAAGAGTATCACCAGAGGCAACTTTGCAAACAGTTTTCCTGAGGCAGTCGTCCTCTCCAATGATCATGGCAATCTCGGCAATGTTTTCCAGAACTTTCTCATAATTAATGGGAAACTCGTAACCGTTCCTGGCGGTTTCCCTGCTGCTGGTCGCTGTGGTCTGGACAACATTAGATGCTCCTTGCATTCCACCGGTAAAGTAATTAAGTAGAGTTGGCAAAGCAGACACTAGGATCAGCGACAAGGGAATGAGAGCAGCAACCGTGAGGGACTTTGGATCTGATGCCAGTTTCGAAAGAAATCCACCCTCTTTTTCTTCCTCGGGTTTGTTCAGAGCGGTCATCATAAGTGGATAAAAAGAAGGATCAACTTGTCCGCTTGGAAATTTGAACCCACCTTTGAAACCAGGATAGACGGGGTTGTAGTTTGGTGCGAACGGTTGGTATTTCTTTGAAGCATAACCTTTGTAGCCATTGTAGCCTCCTATGGATTGGTCATCATCAGGTCCAGATTGGTAATCCTCATCGATATCGTCACTATCGGTGTCTCCAAAGTTATTTTTAGGATATTTGTAGGTTTTGTCATAGTTGCGCCCCTTTCTATGGATTTCAGTTTTGTTCTGATCAGGTGAATCAAGTGCTGAACTAACGCATAATAAAGCGCTTACAAAAAGAGCGATTTTCAAAATCGTTTTCATATTCGAAGCAATAGAATGTTGTGACTGCTGAAGGAAGGAAGGAAGAGAAGACTGATAGAAAGCTTAACCAGTAAAATGTTTATATACCTTAACTAACATCCTGTCTATCACATATTTTGTATAGAGTAATGTGTGTCCATGAACTCGTAGCGTGACGAAATAGTCTAAATACTGATTTATTTATTTATTGTAAATGAAAAAAGGTGAGAAGATTACGTGTGGATGGCTTAATAAAGAAGAATACTTTACGGTTGGTCAAAGTGAGACGCGGTTTCTTTTCGATCATGACCTAGATGACAAATGAGTTCGTTGACGAAGTTGAACTTCATGTGGATTTCTTTTAGTTTGTAACATTATAGTTTAGAGCTTGAACTGTTTACCACTCTGAGAATATGATTAATCAATTATTATTCAGTTTTCAATTGCTGTAAGTAAGTTTTAATGTGTGATCATTTTCATGTGCTGATAAAAAACTTTTGCATTAAAATTTTAACTGCGATTAATGAGCTTTAGTAACTTAAGAAAATCTATAGAATTTTAAAAACTTTTCTCCGTTAATAGTAAATATTACTTTTATTTGTGTTATGATTAAATTAGTGTAATAAATAGTAATATAATATTAGTGTAGTAAATAGTATAACGCATTTGTAAGTGGAATTTAAGTGGAGAAAAAAAAGTAATCTCAAGTAGTCGAATAATAATTGCATTATTTAAATAAAAATTAGAAGTGCTAATTACAAATAACTAGTTTTAATAATATTAAGAATGTTTGTTTTGTTTTGATATTTCAGATTAGTAAAATCTGTGTAAAATATATCATATATATATATATACACACAGAGAGAGAAAAGAGTTTTTATGTTTTATAATTTAAATATGTAATATTTTATAATTATTGTTCACTTTTACACTTCTCTAAATATTATCGAATTGCTAAAGTGCATTATAGGTTAAAAATTGCTGAATATTTTTTGATCAAGTCGATTAACTGTAAGTTACGAATAAAGATTTTTAATAAGTTAAAGAGGTATTTTTTTCAGAATTGTTCTTTATTGTATTAGGTCAAATAAATATGAAGAAAAAATCTATAATCAGAGTTTCAAAAAGCTATTTTTAAAATTACAAAATTATAAGTTACTTGAATTAAATAAAAAAATATAAGTACAAAATTATAATTTTAAAAAAGCACTGTATTTTAAAATTCTAATTGTGTTTTTCATTAGACAAGTTCAATGCATTTATGTGAAAAATATTTCTTACAAGCATTGTAGTAAAAAAAACTAAATTGTAGTTCATTTAGTTATCGAAAGAATCAAAGTTTTAATACAAAACATTTAAAAATATTACTTCTTCAAAAAAATTATCTAAGGCAATGTATACACATATTTCAAATAACTTATTTAGTTAATTTTAAAATCTTCCTTACATTTCAGTTTTACTTGAATTTTGCATAATTTTCGATTTTTTTTTAAAAATTTTGTTCCTAAATACCATATGCTAATTTGTATTGTTTTATTAAATTCTTTTGAAAAAAAAACTGTGTTGTCAAAAAAAATCTTGATATATTCCTGCAATCTTTATATAAACTTAAAGATTGTTTTGTCGGCAAAGTAGATTTGCATCTACCCTTAGTGTTATGTATTAGTAAACTTATTTAAACATTTTCGTTTTTAAAAAATACATAATAATTTTTTTTACTTTGATGTAATAAAATGAGATATTTTTGCTTATTTATTAATTACAGTCATTATAGTTTAATAAATTATTATTTTAATTTTCTTGAAATCAGTTACAAAAAAATAATTCATTAAATTATTAAAATTGAAAACTTTAAAATTAACCAAAATATCGCAGTTCATTTAATATAAATAAATTGTTTTTTATTAACTACCTCCATTAACTATTATTTTAACTTTTAATGTCAAAAGAAATATTGCCATTGAAATATTTTATGCAAAGTAGAGGTTATTTTTCTCGTTGAATGCAATTTCTTAAAAAAAATTTATTTTTTTTACATTACGTTGAAGTACTTAGACAAAACATTTTTATACTTAAGTAACTAAAATAAATTTGTTCGTAAATGTTTTTACATTTAAAATAAGCGTGACAAATTATTGCTTGGAAAACTATTTGAACATTTTATTCGTGATTTTAAATGCTTCGAAAAATTCCTGAGCTAATGTGTTCAAGGTGTAAATATTTTTAAAGGAAACTATTTTTTGATTTAGAATAGAATGAAAAATTCTCCTGAGTTGTAAATCTATGATTATGGAAATTCTATACAGAAGTCTAGGTGAAATTTTGAATAATAAATTCTTTATAAAATTTCATCTTGACGTCTGCTGATGAAGTGGCGCTTCATAACTTTTAGTTCTTTACAGGAAATATGATTTGAATGACGTATTGTGTTCCTGAATTTAAAATATATAAAATATTTCAAGAAATTGGAATTGGATTCTAAAGTTAACGAAAAGAGTCAGGATGTATTTTAAATTTTTAATTCTGAAGAGGAAATGAGCAAAAACTTAAAATAATTTTTTAGTGGGAAAAAGAAACATTTTTACGTATGTTTTATTTCCATTGATGTATGTCATAACTTTTACTTTAGTGCAATAAAATTAAAATGGGAAATATTTTGAAGAAAATACAGTGTATGATCTTGACATTTATAAATATATATATATTTTTTTAAAAAAAATTAGAGATTGTATTATCATTTTCTCATACCAAACGAAAGATAGATAAAGAAAATTTTAAGAAAATAAAATATATGAACTTTATGAGAGCAATATTAATGAGCTAAGGGTGATTTTTAAGAAAATACGAAGCATAATTTCTTCAAATGTGACTATTTTTTAAGATAATTTAATATAATTAATTTATAAGATAATTTAATTTTAAATTTTAAAGATTAACTTAAGTAATTGAAGATGAAGAAAGATTGGAGAAATAACATAGTTTTAGAAAAACAAGATGTATTTCGTCAAAAGTGATTTTAGTTGTTTTGTAAAAAAAAAAATTTTTCCCAAGCATTCATATTTAATAGAAGAAAAAAACAAAAGCACTTCGAAATTTAATAAATAATATTTTAAGAAGATGGCAAATATAAGCGACAAGACAGGTTTGATAGCGTTTGGAAACCGAGAGGAGTTGAAAGACAGTTATTAGAGACACCTTCAAGTTTGAATCTCCAATTAAACTTATTTTCATGTTTATTACACCTATCTTTCTCTACAGCAATCGATTGGATTTCCATAGCGATTCTCGATGGAATAATAATTCATCACCTCTAATGTGCATACATTTTTGCTTTCATATTCGATGAAGAATTTTTATCGTACGTATTAAGGGTGGTTTTTACGGAACACCCTGCATGCAATTGTCAAAATGACAATTTATTTCGGTAAATATGTATTGTCCAAACTATAAAAAAATACACTTACTTTCATTATCTTGCCTTCACACGGTAGTATCATACTATTAGCACCATAATATACCATGTATTTTATATCTGAAATATTTATCAATAGTTGGAGATTGATGACTGTTAATTCTCTGGAATCTGTTGAAGTCATACCATGATCAGACAACACTACTAAATTAACCTTAAAAGAGAAAATCGAAAATTTTTAATTAATTTAAAAGATTATACAGCTCTTGAAAATTTAGAAAATATATTTATTTATTCATTTTTGAACCTTAAGAGACTATACAACAAACATCTGTGAAATATTAAGATCGAATTTGATATACCTTTACTTTCCACAAACCCTTCCTCCAAAATATATAAGCGTCAGAGGCATCTCTGTTTTTGGACAAAATAAATACCTCTTTGGAAGATTCTCCCAGTTTATGCATGGCACCGCCGCTAAGTGCCTTGGATTGTCCCTAGAGTAATGATGTCCCACATTTGCCCCAACTGTCTTATCTAGACTAGTCACATAGGACTGATCACATATAACAATGCCAATTGTCAATGCTCAGTCATCACGTTTCTGTCTCCAATCATAGAGTATATTAGGGCCTCTGTGGGACAATTAATGGATGAGGGAAAGACTGTTTGCATTTTGCTGTTGTAAGGCCCAAATGCCTTATCCAGACTTAGGAATAGTCAACATATTAGCCAACATATATTTCAATGCCAATTGTCAGTGTTCAGACATCGCGTTTCCTTCTGGTTTCATTGATTATATTGGTACATCTATGGGGCAAATATTGAATGAGGTAAAGACAGTTTGCAACTTGTTTGTTGTTGTAAGGCTCGAATGCCTTATACAGACTTAGGACTGGTCACATATGAAACTATAAATGGCAATGCAACTGTCACTGCTCAGCCATCGCGTTTCTACCTCGTTTCATTGACTATATTGGTGCCTCTTTGGGGCAACTATTGAAAGATGGAAAGACTGTTTGCAACTTGTTGCTATTTAGCGCTCTTTCAGACTTGGTTTAGGAATGTAAACCTAAGAGATACAACAACATATGCTGCTCAGCATCCGTCTTGTAGCATTCAAGAGCAAGATATACCATAATTAATTTTAGAAACGTTTCTGCAAACAAATAATATATTAATGATGAATGTTTGAGTACGTTAAAAAAACGTACGATGAATTAATACTTTTACTAAAAGCAAGACTCTAAACACTTAAATTGCCGAAAGGATTGGGATTCGCAGGATCTGCTTGTTTAAAATGTCTCACAGTTTCATGAAACAACTAAACTGTGTTTTTGTTTCCTCTGTTATTTACCTCAATTAAAATTCCCTAGGTTTTTATTGCGTTTTTTTTCTTCTTATTTACATATTAAAGAGGTTTTTTGGTGCATATTTTTTCTTAAAAAGAGATTATTTTATTGCATATTTTGATACCATACCTCTATGAGTATATGTAGGCGAACTTTGCGCAGAATAACTTTGAAGAACTTTTGCGCAGAAACTATTTGATACATTTGAAAAATGCAATCATCGGCGCAAGAGGCAATGTGCGATGACCTGTTAAATGACAGTTTGCTGGAAATCTGTGTTGACGCGAACAGTCAAAACCGTAACGAATATATTTTTCTTTCGGACATCGTTCATTTAATTTCAGAATTCATAATTAACAATGCCAAATAACATGGTTTTGAAACATTTGATTAAATAATACCCTCATAGCTATTTTTAATGAATGCTGCATTTGATCAGTTATTAATTTTTATTTAGAAGAGGAATTGTATCCCCGATTCGATAAATTGTTTTGTGAATGAAAATTCTTTTAAAAAATGTTTGTTGTTTTTATAAACGTTACATTATGAAAAAAAAACTTTTTTTTAAAGAAAATATGTTTAAAAAAGGGCGTGAGACACAATAAATAGAAACCCTTTAGTACGGAACCCTTAGTTTCCTTAGTACGGAAACTCTTACATTTTTATTCCGTTGCATCAAAACAAAAAAGTATCTACAATTTTAAAGAATGTATAATGTATGTATGAAAGTACTTGTATGTTACAATAAAAATTACAGAGCTTTATGTAATTTTTAATAACAGTTCAGATAAAAATTATAGCTAAGCTAGTTGATGTGTTAGTTTAATCATTTTTGCGTGCTTTGTATCGTATTTACCAAAATAAAGAGGATATAAAATAAGGAGCTAATTGTATGATTCAACATTAAAATGATTTGTGGTAAACAAGGGGTTTAACTTAGAGATTTTTAACTGAATTTTTTTTTAATGAATAGAAGTTTTTTGTTTAATGCATATAATATTTAGAACCTTCTGTGCTGCTGTAGCATACAATACAAAAAATTCTCAAATTTTCTATAACAATCTTTTTTAATTTTAAAATTTCTTAAAATAAAATTGCTGTTCACAGTTTTTGAAGTTACTGAATAAATATCAAAAATTCTTCTATGCTTTAAAAAAATCTCCATAGCAATTTTTCCATTTTATTGTTCATTAAAAGTTATATAATAAAATTTCAAAAAAATTTTGAACTTCATGGTGCACTATTCCTATAATAACACAACTTTTAATCAAATAATTTCACGGAAATGTAATAGTTAAATTTTAAAATAAACTGATATATTTATTTTTAAAAGTTTCAAAATCTTCATTTGGGAGTTGTTTTTTCAAAAACCAAACTCGAACTTAGCCTTAAAGAGTATAGATATTTTTGTCTTAATAATGCAGGTAAAAATTAAAAACCTAAGATTCAAACTACAACTAAGTAAACATTAAACGCATAGAAGAAGGTATAAAATACCTAAAATAACAATGAAATGGATTAATAGTTAGATAAAATGTTAAATAAGACAAACTAAATAAAATAATTTTTCACAGAAACAAACTTTAAATTAAATTCCCCAAGGAAGTAAAAAGCAAGAAAAACATTTAACAGTTTTAAAAAGAGCATAATTAATGAAGAAACAGATAAAAAAAAGTATGTACATGTACGATAAACGTATTGTCTAAATTGTAAGATCAAAGATCAAAGCTCCCGTAAGAGTCTCATCCAATGTATAAAATAAAAGCTTATACAAGATTAATTCTGTTTAGTAAAAACACTCTTTGTTGTGTTTTGACTTCGTAGAAATTTAATACCCTTGACTTTTATTAATAATAGATTTACGAGGAAAATCATTTGGCTTAATAACCTCTTGAGGTTCGCCCGCTTCTGGTAAACGCGAATCCTTCTACCCAAATGCCCCCGTGGCCTTACCTTCGATTTTATTTGCACTAAATTTAAACTTGTCAATTCGACTTGAGTACGCATTGTTATTTCACACAAGTAGAGCAGATTCTAAGAATACTCTTGCACTGCTATACATATTAGTTATATGTCACATGACTAATTAGTTTATCGCACCGTTTATTTCTCTCTTTAAATCCTTTAGTAATGATTCATTTTAGTAGTTACTTCCTATTTAAATCCTTATAAGTAATGCACATTTATTTGTCTCATTAAATCTACAGTTAACCCAATCTATTCGTTTTTAAAGGTCTTACTGTCGATTTCTTTTAAATAAAATCTCTTATAAATATTTTTTGATCAGACGTAAACCTAGAAGAGTTTGCTTGTAGTTAAAAAAAAATAACACAAAATATAAATATTGCATTTTTTCCCGTTAAAATACCCCTTTACATCCAAGTCAAAATTCTTGATGGTCCTATCAAAAAAAAATTGATGGTTTATTTTGGTTTCAGTGCGATTCATGATGGTCTGACATCATTTGATGGTCAAAATCATATCAACATTTTCCGTTATGCGTTCATGGTATTAGATATGCCAACAAAATTCCATCATTCCATGATGGAATACACTACTTTAATACCGTCAAGAGAAGTTTGATTCTCATGCAACAAAAATCCATGAAGATCCGTAATGGTCCATGATGGTTTCAACTATACATTTCCATAATGGTTTTAAGGAAATTTTTGTTGGTTCTCAAGAACCATCAAAACAATTTGGGTTTTCTCATGTTGGCCCCTCATAAGTCAGTCCGAATTCCTACATCGGGGAGATGGTGGTTTATAATCGTTCCAACATTTGATTTCTCTGAAACTATGATGGAATTTCAAGATGGTCCATATTGGTACAACAATGCATTTCCATGATGGTTTAATAATAATTCTTCTTGGTTCGGTAGGGATATACCATCAAAGCAAGTTGCTATTCTAATGTTGGACCATCAAAAATAAGTGTAAATTCTTACATTAGGACGATAGTTACTTATGATGGTGACCATCAAAAAATATAATGCTTCATGATGAAATTAAGATTATGTTGGTCCATCAATGGAAAACCATCAAAAATTTTGACATTCGCTTCTTTCAATATTTATGTATTTTTATTACATTTTTGTTGCTGAGCATTAACTCAACAAACTCGATTAGAAAAAAAAGAAGTCTTTTGCGCAATAAGTCCTTATAGGGTAAAAAATAGCGCGCACATTAGAAGGTGATATAGTTATTAGTTAGGAATATAAATAAATTGTTAATAGTAATGCTTGCACTTGTTGTTATGTTTGTATAAACAAATATTAATAAATGTCTGTTCGCAGTTTTATTTATACGCTGTTCACAACCATAAAATAATTTATAAAGGGCAATTATAGAAAAAAAAAAGATAAAAAGATTGGAAATGTGAAGTTACATTGCGTAACTCAGAACTAAAACGTAAGTGCAGAAACAGGAATTTCAACTGACAGTATTAATCTGTTTGTCATTTGAGTAATAAACGAATAAATAAACGGCTAAATTTACAAACATATTAAGGGGATTCGAGTGTCCTCTTCCAGTCAGTTTAGAAATTTTCTAAAAAAAACTACTACAATTTTTAAAAAACCTTTTTTTGTTGTTGTTTGAACTACTCTTTTAGAATATTTAAACACGCGAGGGTGGGTGGAAATTCGAAAAGTTTGATTTTAGAAGTTTAGGTATATAATTTTAAATTTGTATCAAAAGTTGGCATTAAAAGTAAATAAATAAAATCAAAACATTTAGTTAAAACATGAATCATAACAAAAGGTTTAAAATTAAATCGTCTTTAAAAATCGCTACAAAATTTAATAATAAAAAACTATTCGCAGCATAAAATAGACGAAATACCCGTTACCATACACCGTTTCATACAAATTATAATAAATGCATTAGAAATTTCCAAAGTATACATTGTTTAATCTTTTTACAACGAGCATGTTTAAATGCAAGTTTTTTAATAAAATATACAGAATTCTATATCTAGCATCGTGAAGAAAAAAATGAAATAAACTATAAATGGTATTATATCTTCAACGAATTCAAACTTTGTACAACTTTTATTGCTTTTAAAGCCGTAAAATATGTTCCCAAAGGTAACTCATAATATTATTACCAGGCATTTATTTCAAATACTATACACGTTTAAATACAGTTCCTGAAAGATTTAAAATGCGAAAAACATTCTTATAGATATAAAAAAAGAACTATATTTCACATGTAACATCTTTTGAGTTATGTCTCAAACTTAAGAAAAGTATATAATCGGAATTATGGTTAAAACTTTTAAAAGAAAACTATTCACGGATAGAGCAGATTTATTTAAACTATTCCGATACAAACTAAGCAGATAATTTTCTGAAAATATATCTTTCTTTTCAACAAAATCCTTTTTGAAGGAGCTGTGGGTATTTTTCAAAGTGCAGAATCAGCTCTCGATAGATTAGGGGTTACGGATACGGAGAGCCCTCCCTTTTTTGCAAAGTATCTTCAAAAGGACTTATAAACATTCGCTTGCAGAAATCTGATTTAAAACATGGACCTATTTTTTTAAATGTCGAAAGCGCAACAGATCCATATTTATTCTTAAAAAAAAAGAAAAAAAAAGAAACGGATCTGTTATATACTTGCGCAAAAATGTTCTTGAAGTTTCTTAGATGTAACGTTTTATAACTTACCTTATCATCTATTTTCCTTCTCGTCATTTCATGTTGCAAGACATCCAGTATGCTGTCAATAGTTTTTACAGCTTGTCTGAGCTCAAAAGAATCTGGTCCGAATTTATGCCCTGAAAATCATTAATTCGTGTTATCAGTCATGCATATAAATTATTAAATATTTGAATTTAATTGATATATAAATTTTACGGGTTGCTCCGTAAGAATTTTTTCAGGCTTTAAAATAGGCAAAGAAAAAAAATGCCATCCGGTCTGTGTAGGGGGCAGGGAACTGTCCTTGCACCAGAGAGGTCCTGGGTTCGAATCCCGGGCAAGGCGATTTTTCTTTCTCTCTCTCTCTGTGTTCTATGCCCTTTCTCCTTTGTGTGTGAATGTGGCCCGCCCTATAAACGGGTTGTGGTTGTGTGAATGGCGTGACAGAAGTCGAATTCCTGGCCATAGATGGCGCCACTGAAAAGCAGGAACAATTGCACCCCCACTGCCTAAACAGGTATATGACAAAAAAAAATAGGCCAAATGTTTAAATATTAAGGAAAAATATTATACTTTTTTTTAAATCATCCGTTTGGCGAGTTTTCCTCTTAGATAAAAATTTATCAAAATCAATGAACAATTCTCGATTTTTGCAAATTTTTCTGAGCCCGCATATTTAAGTTTGCAGTAAATTTTTAAATATTTTAAAATTAAGCTACAAACGCTTTTCATTTTCACCAAAGTTTTGTTTTTCTTCATAATGACGTTTTGCTCTATTTTCGGTACAAGCAAGCATGGGGCGTTGGCCCAAGATAGGCTTAACTTGACCTAAGAGTAATATGCATTTGTTGCAAATTCTATGGCTAAGAAATAGAATAAAGTAGAAATAATTCCTAAGAAATAAATTTATTTTTTATCATGATATATATTATTACCAAGCAATATACTTATAATATAATATAAGTTAAACATTACACCCTCCTCTCAATTACAAAACTTTACAATTTAAAGAGCAGTGTTTTGGGCGATTCTTGTATGATTATCAATTTAAAAAGCAAATTGCTATAAAATTAAGTGAATTCAGTTCCTTGAGTCATGTTATTTTTCCATGAGGAAAAAAAGAGATTTTCTTTGCTTTTAACCCTATGAACGGATTTTCTCTCAATAATTAGAATGTGCTGCTAATAACGAGAACTTCTTCTAAACGAAATTATTGTTTTTTAGTAGAAATAACAATTCACAAACAATAACTCATTAAAAACTCACAAGAAAGCATAATAGCAAATTAAATTGTTTTTATGCTATTGTTTCGGTTTTGGCATCAAGATAACTATTTTAAATTCTTTAAAAAACATGCCCGTAAATTTAGTGTAAGCTATGGAAAATCAATCATGTGAATTTACTCAACGAATACTGCGAAAATTCAATAATCTTAGTAATACTTTTATAAAACCTTACTTTGGAAAAACATTTTCCTGAATAAAATTTATATATTTGTTTATATAAAATGATTTTTTTTTTTGCCAAAGAATGCATTTAATGGAAAAACATTAATGTTTCAACTGCAAAATTATTCTTCATTTAAAATACCTAAAAGACACTAAATGCTTGTTTTAACGGCATATATTTAAGCCAGTCTTTTAAATAATGTCTAAAAGTATTCTTAACGCTATTTTTCTTGTTCAAAGTTTAAGAAAATACATTCATGCACACACGCTTCGGAAATACTACCCTTAAATAAAGTCACCTTCCAATACTCATTATCATGTTACAGTCATATCTATTTCAATGAAAATCTAAAATATTTTACGATTTCGTAAGATTTTCGGTTAAGTCTCATAGTAGGAAGATGCATAATATTTAACGTTCTGTTAGTCAATTATGCAGATTCGTAATTAACTGTTCCTTGGGCTTAACGAATTCATGAGACATTTTGTGTTTCCATATTCACTCGGAAAGGAATGTATCAATGTTCTTAGAAAGTATGATACTTTCTTTGAATCTTTTATATTCTAATTTTAAGAACGCTTGTACTGGTTAGTTTTCTTGTGTGCTACACCCTACACTGCAAGAATTTTAATTCTAAATTGACGGTAAAATGATCTCAGTCTGTGAATCCAATAAACATTAAGATAAAGAGCATATTTGCCATTACGATTTTGAAATCGTTTACAACTAGTATGGGTGTTCACCATAAGTACAAAACTATACGGTTTTTTAACCAATTGCAATTAGCATGGTTTCAAAACCTTAAAAAAAGAAATTTAACTGGACATTGGAGATAGTCTTTTCGTTAGGTTGCTCACATTGGAGTAAGGCTGAGGTTGAGTTGTGTTTTATCAAATAACCCGTGGAATGTGGGTTTAATTAGTTTATTTGGCTGTTTCACCTATCGTAAGAGATGGGAAATACAAAACTTTTTTGTATTAATCCCTTAACGATCGGTTAGTTTTCAAGAAAACGGTCGTAAAAGTGCCTATTTTTTGAATACTTTAAAATTGATTAGTGCTGACATCTAGTTTAAAATAAACTATCTACAATTACCTTAAAAATATCCCGGTACTGCCATCTGGTGAGTAAAATTAGAAATAAAATGTTTTCCGAGCAAAAGAAATGAATTAGTTTTATTCTTATTAACGCGTTACTACTGAACACTCCAGCCCGTCACGGGAGCGAGAAATAGAGGGCGAAACCACACCCAGTCATTTTCATGGGAGAGAGAAGGAAGGGGTTAAGCATCTTTGCGTGCGTCTATGTGTGACCGAGAGTATGGTATTCTAATGGTCCGGAGATCACTAAGAGTCGGGAAAGAAGGAAGTCGGGGAGTGCAGGACACTGGAAACTCTTCATATGTTGAAGGGGATGGAAGAAATATTGTGGTGTCGACTAAGGGATTCGAACCCCCGCTTTCTCAGTCATGAGTTTGACAGATTAGCCCTCTCGGCTACAATATGTTGCCAGCTGCAACGAACTAAGTGGCTTCATTAGGTGGGTCTAGTTGATGCGATAAAATTCTAGTTGTATTCTAGACATAATGATTATATCAAGAACTAATTTTATATTACGTTAGTTGATAACAGAGTAAAAAATATATTCAAAATCTGTAAAGCGTAAAAAATGTTTTTTTTATTGACTAAATATAAGGACATATGTGAGTGTATGAAGGTATTTTGGAAATGTAATTTCAAACCACGATCAATTAAATATCATTTTGACGGATTGCTTATAAGTTGCCTTTCTTAAAAAAAAATAATGTAATACTTTCAAAGAAAAAAAATGCTATTTCAGCACATAGTGTAACAATTTAGGAAATCGGGCTTTCTATAGAAATTACTTTTAATCATACCTTTCCTTAAAATTCTTTAAATTCCTGTACGAACCAAATGTATCCTTTTTTTATTTTTAATTACATTTAAAAAAAATCCTTTTTAGAAAGTTTTACATTTATTAAATTATTTATTGATTAGTTTAGATGTATTCAATAAATATTTTAGGAAATGCAACTATGTATAAAGTTATTTCTTTCCTTACTTTTACATGGTTTTCGATTTTGATAGTTGTAAGAATTTTTTCATAGCACATCTCATTTTCACTTTCTCTTTTATTTTCATTTTATTTAACTTTCACAACAAAAGGTAAAATTTCGAAGCCAGAACTTTAAATTTTTCGGTTGTTAATACGGCACTTAAAATTATTGTAGAAATATTCATAGAAATTTAGGACCATTAATTGCTTCAAAAAGCGACAAGAAAATGATGTTTGTATTGTTTAGCAAAACCAATAATAAATATAAAACATTATATANTTGCATACTAAGCGCAATAAATGAAACTTATTGTTTTTCTTAACTTTCTTCGTGTTCGTGTTTTCTTGTATTTATATTATATATATTATTTCAAGTGATAGGAAATCCTTTTACTAAGACTCATAAATTGTTTGGATTGATTTGAAACTTGACACAAATGAAAGGGATTTTCTCAGAAATATTCTCTATAAAACATCTCTATCTTAAGATATTTCTATATACCTTATAATAACTCTTTATTTGTTTTATTCTTCGTATTTCTTTTTTCTTTAATTTTCATTTATTCGCATTACTCTAATTGGAACAAAAAAATCTATACACTTTAAAAATTAACCAAACTCAACATCAGGAGTCGGATTTTGGGTTGGCATAAATTGATCAAATTAGATAATTCATTTTTCAAAAAGTAATTAATATACTAAAGAGTAAACTGTCAAAACGTTTTTATCCTTATACGTATTTTGGAATTAGTTATTTGTGAATTTAACCGATACTCAAAAAAATTAGTTAATAGCTTATAAAGGAGAATTATTTGATTTAAAGTTAACAATATTAACTTCATACTATATATTGAAGAAAAAACTTTGATTTGAAATGTTACAGTCTGGCGTAACTAACACTACGATTGTCAAATATCAATTCACTAGTAGATAAGACATGTTAACTTGATTCCGTCTTGCGGTACCTTTTGATAGATGAAAGGTTGACATAGTCGATAATTATATCTCCACATTGGGGACTTGAACGTGTAATTTTAATTGCAAATTTAAATAGATATTTAATATTCTTAGTGGTAGTTACGGCACATTGCTACGGAATTTCCAACTGCTACGGAATTTCCGTAGTTTCCGAAATCTTCTTTTCAGACGGTAGCAAAATTAATGTCTTAATATTTAAAATAAATTAATTTTAGCGTAACTTGTCCACTATTACTTATAAAAGTGCAGGCCATATGGCTAGATTCTTAAGTTCTGATAAAAGTTTTATGAGATATCCATTTGTTTTAAAAATTTCTACTTTGGTTCGCTACCACTAGAAAGAATTATTTTCAAAATCCTCATAAGTTGGAGGGTATGCATCCCTTCCAGAATTTTACGTGTGATAGAATTTTATGAACGTATACCACTAGTTGATTACTGCTGTTAGTTTATTTATTTATTTTTTCGTTCATTATTTATTGTTTGTTTATTGACCGGGAGAATTGTATTTACTTCATGGGATTTATGAGCGCTATTTTATGAGCAAATCAACTGCTTAATATGGACCATCCATTGATGTTGGCGGGTTTATATCACGTCCGAAGGTTTCCAATATGAGGATATAATTATAGACCATGTCAGACTTTATCTATCAAAAGGTATCTCAAGATGGAATCAAGTTAACATGTCTTATATACTAGAGAATCGATATTTAATAATCTTAGTGGTAGTAACGCCAAACAGTACTAACAATTTTAGAAAAATAGAATAGAAATAGTACCAGTGAAATCCACTAACTCGTAATAGATTTGAGCTAACTGTATTTCATTACTCTCCAACAGCTGTAAAGCGTTCATCAAGGCTTCTTTTGTATCTTCATTTACATTAGGCCATGCAAACCCAACATATTTATATTTTTTACACAAAGATGGTTTGTGTCCTCGAATTTTGACCTGCAAATAAAACGACACATTCTTTTGAAGTACATATAAGAGAAAAAAACATCGTAGTAATTATATATAAAATCAATGAAATCGTAATACTTCTTAAATTGTATGCAGATTGATAGAAAACAATTTCTATTTCCAATAGTATACAGAGTGTCAAGTATAAACTATCCTTAATCCCTAATATTAAAATTCTTTCCAAAAACGAGCACTAGGGTCCGCAAGTTATTATTTATGCGAAGAAAAACACAGAAACACAGTTGAAATCTGCTAATCCATGCTTCTGAACTTAAAATATCAAAATTTGTTTGATTGCTGAAGGAAACAGGGGTTGAAAAGCCATTATTTAAAGCGTCTCCAAGTCATCGGGCAATTTAACTGATTTTGATGCTTTTCCATCTTGGCTTCCTCGCTAGCGATTCGGAAGATTTCAGTAGCGATTTTATTTCCTACTCGTTTGTGAACCCTACATATTATATTTGATTTGCGTCCAATATATTTCATACATTTTTACTTAAATTTTCGACAAGAGCTTTAAAAGTGTTAAGTGTGGTCATTACAGAACATCCTGTATATGGTAAGGCAGAAATATTCCTACTGATATATAATGTAAAACTGTTATTTAATGCTGATAAATACGTTATTTCTAACTAAAATTCATCGAAGTATTATTAAATATAGACTTAAATGTAGGATATATCTGTATAAACTAATTGCATAAATTAGTTAATAATCCAAAAAAACTTTGTGCGAAAGATATTAACGAGAGCAGAAACGTAAATGGTTAAAACTCATGCTTGAAACATTTATTTTACTTTGAATACTTTGAAATTTACTATTTATTTTGCGAAGTTTAACAAAAGAATATTTTTGAATTGTTAATACGTTTTTGAAATATATTTAAAATTTGCGTTGTCTGTAAAAATGAATAAAATTAAGCATGGCAAAACTTTTCCACTAAGTGGCCGTATTATAATACAATTTTAATAGTTAAAAACGTTCGCCATGGTTTTGATAATTAATTTTAGTAATTCGAAAAATATAATAAAATATATTAGAATGTTAATGAGCTAAGAGTTTTTATTTTTATTTTTAATAATAATGCTCCTTTCTTCGAATGATTTGAATTCTTGACTCACAATAGATGCCTCAATCTCAAAACCGATCCGAATATTTCAGAGAGCTTCTTCGAAAAATATTTGAAATTCATTATTTTGTATATTGTTATATATTTTGAAAAATAAAATACAGCAGGCAAAGGGAACTTTTAGTTGGCAAATATGGAATTAAATTACCCAAATATAATTCTTAGAAAAAATTATTTACTTAAATGATAATTTAACATATTTTGAATTATTAAGTACGCAATGACAAAAACTAAAATATGAAATTTTGAAAAAACTTAATCATATGCTTTTTGTGAAGTAACTATTTAAAAATAAGCTTTTTATATTATTTCTCGTAAAATAATCAGATAAAATAGTCAGATTTTAATTCTTGACATTAAAACTTATAGAATTTCATGTATGAGAAAGTGTTGTGTATTGCAGCGAAATATCTTTGTCTTTCTTGTGCTGAAAACAGAAAAAAAAGATAACGATGCACAATGATTCAAATGACTAGCAAATTTTGTAGGAAATGCATTATATAGGCTTGTTAATAATTGTAACTTTTTAAATTCAAATTCTGCCTTACACTTAAAAAATTATTTAAGTAAGGAACGTTGGTTTATTACAACATGGTATTGCATCTTGAAACACTAAATATTTTGCCTTTGACCATTGAATATTACTTTTTGAGCGACACCTATTTTGCGTTTTTTTTTCTTTGAAAATTGTTCGTTGATTAAATTTGGATATTCATGCAATTAAAACTTATTTTTCACGTATCTTAAGTAAGCTAAAATAATTCAAATCAATCATAAACGTGTTACCAATTAATATTTTTTGGAATAACTTGTAAATTTGTCTCTAAAAATATAAAATTCATTAATATATTGGGTAAGGCTAAGTCCCGAGGAAAATGTATTTAAGCTAATTTTATATGTTGACAGATCCAGGGTGTAAAATACCGAGATTGTCTCCAATTTTTAACAAGCGTGCACTTTTTGTAACATTCTGTATAAATAATGGCTAACAAACTCATGTTTCTTATCTCATTCGCTTCTTATCTCAAGAAGGATAAAAAAAAGAAGACGATCTTTCTTTATTTCGCTAGGCCTAACAAAAGAATAAATAATTTTTATTGACATTAACATTGATGCTTTATCTTAAATATAAAACTCAATTTGGACATTAATGCAATTAAAACTTATTTTTCAATCATCCTGAGCAAGTTAAAATATTTCAAATCTATCATAAACGTATTTCCAAATGACATTTTTTGGAATAATTCGCAAATTTATTGCTAAAAATATAAAATTCTTCAATATATTGTGCCAGGCCAATTCCTCGAGAAAATGTATTTATGCTAACTTGACCTTGTGCACATACGTTGATCCGATCCAGGGTACAAAGTAACGAGACTGGTTCAAGTTGCAACCGGCGTGCATTTTTTTTCCTTTTGTGCTGGGGTGATAAAGGCTAGCAAACTTATGAATTCAATCTGATTCAGATTATTAGAAGGCTTTCTTTTTATTTCGTTAAGTATAACAAAAAAAAACTTTTTTTAAAAAAACAGTGTTGTTTTTTTAATCTTATAGAGAGTAGCAATTTTGTATTTGTGAACCTATATATACACCGAAGAGCCATTACAGTATGACCACCCACCATCTATAACAATCGGCTCGCCCAGGCTTTCATGGTTTCTCGCCCAGGAACAATGATTTCCTGGGGCCCATTAGGACCCATAATCCTCATAGAACAATCCCTGACGTCTGTAAGCTACTTGAACATAGTTGTAGACCAGATTCACCTATTCATGGCAACAGTTTTTCCTGCCGGGGATGGTGTTTACCAGCAGGATAATGCACCATGTCACAAGGGTCGAATCGTCGAGGAACATTCCAGTGACTTTCAAGTCATGTCTTGGGCCCCAAATTCACCTGACCTTAATCCAATAGAGCATTTGTGGTCCTACTTGGAAAACCAGATTCGTGCTGCTACGCTACCCCCTCGCAATGTGAGGGAATTGCAGGACCAGTTGGTGAGCGCTTGGTACCAGATACCTCAGACTACCTATCAGTACCTTGTGGAATCAATGCCACGGCGGGTGCTAGCAGTTTTGAGGACTAAAAGTGGTCCTACATGTTATTAGCAGGATGGTCATAATGTAATGGCTCTTCGATGCATATATATTGAGGAGCTAAAACGCGAATGGATGCTAACTTCAGCATTGAAACGAGTTTTAATGTTTTCTGTTCCGTTTTTTTTTCAATGGTGATTCTCAAAATTTAATATTATTTTTATTTTTCGCTTGTCTTGAAAAATAATACGAGGAGGTGCAAGCTGTTTTATTTAATTTTAGCTGGAAATTTAAAAATATATACTTAGTGTGATCACATATGAATCGTATATATTAAATGTATGTTAAGAATCTAAAAGCCCGCCTTGAGTATGTAAAGTATGGTAAATTCAACGTCATTTGTGTTTGCTTATCATTTGTTATGTTGTTTCATCTGTACGTTTTGTGTATTAAGTTTCAAAACAGTTTTTAAACATGTCTGGTGTTTAAAGGTTTTTAATTTATTTAAAGGTTATTACATTTATAAACAGTTAAATATTTATAGTTGAATATTTCAAGCAAAACAAAATAGTTCAGTAATCAAATAGTTTTTCTAATAGTTAATTATTAAGAAAACTGAATTCAATTACATTTTCATGTTAAGTTTTTTTCTTGTCTTGTATTATAAAGAATTAAATTACAAGTACCATGCTAAGTCGTAAGTAATTTGTGATTTAATTGTGTGAATTCACTCTTCAGCAAATAAATAATGAAATCGGTAAATGAGTATTCGAGTGATTTTACTCTTCGGTAAAGGTAAAATAATTAATTTAAGATATAGAGAAAATTTCTGCATTTTTTTTAAAAATTTCATTTACCTATACAAAATGGTTAATTAAAAGAGAAACCAATTGTAAAATCTCTATCCTTTTAAATCCAATGAAAGAATGCTAAGATTTAAAAAATCAAACAATTGGCTGCTGTATTATACTTCAAAATGATGGGGCAGAAAAACGGAAAATAGTAACACAATATAGAAGCAGTACATTCTAATTTATAAAACTAATTATCTTTTATTAAAGTGAGAAGAATTTTAAAAATAATTCATTCATTCTTAAATTCTGTTAATAGTAACATTCTAAAACTGAAGTTTTTCTTTAATTGCTTTGACTGTGTTTTGGTAATCAGTTTTATATTTTTAAAAAAAATTCGTTTAATAACACGAAGCAGTACCAACCAAAGCAATTATTTTCTATAATTAATATTAAAAATTTTTAACAATGAATCTATTGCTCATACATTAGAAATATGAATTTTCTTATTAATGAATTCATTTAATACCCACAAGAAACTATTGTAACTGTCTTCAGCTCTTATGATTTCTTTTTAATATTTCCAATGAGCTGCATAATCAGTCTTCCCGATGAGCAGACCTAGTGCGTTCTCCAGAAGTGGTATCCACTCTTTCAGGACCACCACAATGGATTAGATACCGTTGGCCATGTTAATTTGGACATCTAGTTTCTGCCACACTAGACGGCAGCACCGAGACTCTATTTGGATGCTGAAGTGCACTAGGAATTTAATTTTGCCGGGAATGCCAAGAGCCAATAAGGCACTCCAGGGATCTTTTACATGCCACATAATCATACGACATGGCCGCTGAGGATTTTCCGCATCCCGAAAATCCGGTGTCTGGGCCGGGGATCGAACCAGCTGACTTGGGTTCAGAAGGCCGACGACAAACCAACTGCACCACCCAAGCACACTCTCTTATAAAATGCACTATATGCTATATGTACTTATGAAATGCACTGTAAAATTATACGCCGTGAGGTATGAAGTACCCATTTTAAGTTAGCCAGTACTTTTATATCGTAAAAATTTATGGTAGAAAATATAAACAGGATTTAAAGAAATCATGCTTCAGAAGTGAGCACTAAGTGCAATGTAAAATACGCCGGATCAAGTTATGGTATAAAGTATCGGAACTTAGGTTGCGTCATCCGTAAAATCCATTTTTACCGTAAAATAATGTACCTTAATTTTTACAGATATATTTATTTAATTAGACGGATTTAGGGATTCCACGGTAATTATTAAGGCAAAATTTATGGCTATCAGATTTTTTTTGTTTCGTAACCTGTTGCGGTAAAAATGAATTGTATGAAGAAAAGTACCGGCAACCTGAGTGCCGGGCGTACAAAGACTCGATTTTAAGGATTGAGGTTATTTAATTGATGCAGACCATATTTTAAGGTACGAAATTACAAAAGTGCACTTTCTCTTGATATGTGTACCTTTTTGTAAGTCGGATTTTGATTTTTGATCCTCAAAGTATGAAGGTGGGAAGCCAAAATATTGAAAATATGGACTCAATAGTGTAGGCAAGAGAACAGTTGAAAGTTTGCAACCCTTGATGCTAATTTTACTCGCCATATTTCGGGAACTTTTTAAGGGAATCAAATAATTTTTGCAAACAATAGTAACATTTATTTATCCACATATAATTCCGCTCAAATAATAATTTTTTATGTGTATAATTATTTTTTTATCAATTTATTTTATTATAAAAAATATTTTTTCTTAAAAAATTTGTTTTGTTTTTTGTCGTCTGGAATCAGAACTTCGTATTTTTCTCAAACATATGATACTTCGATAATAATCAACATTATTAGAAGTTATATCTGAGAGATAAGCAAAATTAATAGAAATGTTGCTTGCGTATGTATATAAAATGAAACGAAATCTACTTTGACAAATCTACTTTGCCTTTTCTTCTTAATATTAGACGAAAGAGAAGAAATGTGATTTTGATTTTAATTTTGTCGCACAAAAATTATAATGTTCCTTTTTTCTAGTATCATAATTGTTTACTATTGTGTATTTTTTTGTATATTTATATATTGTGTATTTTTTTTTAAACTTTTGTAAATGCCATTTTGCCCCTTTCTTTCGGAAATAATATTTTTGCTTTCTTCCAAAACACAACTATGTCTATGAAATAAAATTTTTTTAACGTTAAATTTCCTCTTCTTAAAAATAATAATTCAGAAATAGTGTTGTTTTGTTACTCTCCATGCTACACTTTTTTTGTCTTTTATAAATAATTGTCTTTTATAGAATAAAAAATTTTTGTTTCAGGAATAACAAAATTCCTTTCAGGCGTTTTATAGTTTAAATAAAAATATTTATAACTTTCAGCATAATGTTTTTTTTTTATTTTTATAATTATAACTGTATGAAACAGTTTTCATAACATTCAGTCAGCAATTTTTACTCAACATATTAACATTGTTTTTGAAGAATTTTAATATTTTAGATAATCATCATACGAACATGCTTTCAAACTCATGCACTGATATCGAAATGATATTGTTAACGATATTGTGTAGCTCTAAATGGAACACACGATAGCAAAAGCATTATTTTTAAGTGTTTATACTCAATATTATACGAATAAAAAGTGTAAAAAGATGAATATATTTAATGTTAACAAGAAACAGCTTTCAAAATTCCTATGCATGTTTCAAAAGAATGCAACATAATGCAATCTTACTATGCGAAAAAATGCAATATAAATTTAATATGCCTTCATAAATTAGGTAAATATAATTTTGTAATAGTAAGTTAAGCTTTTTGACTGTTTTTAGTGAGTTATTAAGTGCCGAAATAATCAATTCACGTGACAGTGGGCAATTAACTACATTATTAAATTTTTTTATAAATGGGGGAAGCAAAAATAAAATACACTCTTTTTATTCGTTCAGGTTAAGCTCATTAGTGAGCTAGTTTTTAGTTAATCGAATATTTTACCTCAAAAGCGTTTAAACTTTTTTGCATGCATTTTTTTTTGTTTAAACTTCCTTTTATTTTATCTATGTATATCGCTCTCTAACGTAACCTCACAGAAATTGTGAATTTATTTTTTTGCCGGTGGATACGGTAATGTCTCGATTCCATTGTACAATAGCGGACATTATGTAATTGAAAAAATAGAATTGTGAAAGAACCAAAACAATTGTGTCACTAAACTGCTTAGGAAACCATGACACATTTTTATGTAAATCATACGTTAATGAATAATGTGATACTAATGTCTCTATACCTCTAAATTATAATGGGAAATAATTAATCCTTTTAAAATTCTTGCGCCATTAAGTTAACATCGTTCATTTATTACATAGGCTTAAATACATGCGTTTATAAACTATTTTTATTTGGCTAATGTCTAATACATTTGAAATAAACATGAAAACTTGTAGAATGATGAGATGTGGTAAAACTCATCACAACTTTATGTTTTTGTATCGAGCGTACGAATCCAGCGTACGCTCGATACAACGAGTAATTTCGAGTATGTATAGAGTGACGATGTATTTCGGGTATGTATCGATGGATTTCGAGTATGTATCGAGCGTACTTGGGTCACAAAATAATCTGAAAGGAAATGCGTAGGAATACTAGTCGTAAATGTGTAACATGTCGAGAAAAAGAGTAAAAAATAGACATGAAAATGACCACTAGTCACTCGCCACGTTTCAAATCAACAAAAGAGAGCGCCTTAAATTAAATAAACAACCAGTCCTTTTTTTTTTTGAAAATTATTAAATTATAAAAGTACATCAATGCAGAGAAAAAAAACAGAACTCTTTTTCATTAAAATGTTCAATGTCTTTGATTCAAAATTTAGATCCTTCAGAAACCATCAATTTGTGGTTGAAAGATTTATGTGAAAGAAGAGTTCTTTAACAATTCACATATTTCAAAGCTGTAATGTATACATTAAATGTTTTTTGCCTCCCCAAATATTTAAAAAAAAGTTCATTAACATCAATTTGTTTAACTAAATTTTATCGCATATTTATAATATTTTTTACTGTTGAATTAATTTTTAATAACCATAGATTAAATAATACAAATTATTTTAAGAAATATAATTTAATCCAAGCAAAAATAAATAGTTCGCAAAAAGAGGCTATTAAGAAAAGGACATATCGACATCAATCACCGATTCGTTAAGAAAAAGTAGCTACTAAGTTGTGAGAGTCCATCGGCCACTGGCTACTCACTGATTAATGAAAATAGAACACTTGAACATGGAATATAGAATGATTTCTGTTTGTTGTCCTTTTATATCATGTATATTTCCCTTATGGTCAAACTTTTGATCACATATTCAGGAAATAATGTGGCATAAAAAATAGTAAATAAATAAAAACTTACTTGACATCCGTCCCACCAGTAAAGAGCACTTTTCAATCCTTGTTTTTCTGCCGTTATCCATAAAGGCTCAGCTTTGTCCCACCAATGAGGAGTGGACGCAGTATCATTTGGTCCCATTAAGAAAAAATCATCAAAGTAAGAATCATACATCATATTTTGTACAAATCCATGATTCTCTGCATACAGTCCTATAAAGAACAAAAAGAATAACGTTCATCTTCATAAAATTTCAAAATTGCAATAAAAAATAACTCAGTATAAATAATTGGATTTTGAACAACCCTAAAATTTGTGTGAAGGCACACTTTTTTTTCCAGTTAAACCAAATAATATAGAGTTTAAAGGATGTATGAAGACTCTGAACACTGATAATGCTAAAAGTTAGCCCCAATATCACTCACCTTAACACCATACGTTAAATATTTTCGCTTCCGAAAACTCTAATGTTGGCACGTGTAGATTTCGCCAGTAATTGTTTACAATCGATAACGAGTTTTGAGAGTGTTAGCGGCTGTCTTCAATTCTGATTTTCATCTGCAGAAACTACAGTGCGCCGTTAGAAATATGTATGTTTTTCGGTTGTGTAATAAAGATATTTATCTTTCAATTTCAGAGTCTCTATAAACTGTATTAAATAATTTTTTTATTGTATTATTTATATCAGCTTCTGCTCTGTTAAGCCCAGTTCTTAATATTCTCTCTGAAACACGAGGGATTTGCTTACAAACTTATTTTATTTTCAGATTTAGTGTACGCATGCAATCGTACGCATTCGGAATTTAGTACGCATACAATTTCAGAATTTAGTACGTATGCAATCTAAATTTCTGATTTCTTCTTTACATTGTCTTGTAAAAATAACTTTATTGATTCTTATATGTACCGTATCTTACTGTAGTTATAATTTTTAGTGTTATTAAATAACAAACAGGGTAGTTGGTGGCTGCTAATACGCACCAAGTAGCGCAAAAGAACATTCTTGGTGCTTAACAGCACCAAACAATATACTTGAGTTTTGGTGCAATGGAACACCACTTCAGTGTAAAGTAGTTGTCCACCTTTTTGGTGTTCAGGTTACGAAAAGTTTTTATAATGTTGTAATGGTAGGTTAGTAATGCATAGTCAGATCATAACTTGGTAATCATCATTACCGATCTAGCTTGCAGCCTCCCTTTGTATCTCGTGAAACAAAATATTTAAACTACACGAAGTCATTTTTGATTGCTGAACTTAGTTTTGACTCTTTAAATCTAAATTAAAAACCTAACTATTTACCTTATGTCTGTTCAGAAACTCCATCTATATTTATCCTTGTGAACAAATTTTGATTTTTTTTTTTTAAAAAGTCAAAAGTTTATCAAAAATCACGAATTTTAGTCATTGGAATGTTTATTCTATTAATACTTATTATCGTATTTTTGAAAAAATTATTTTAATGTGTGTTTCAGAACTCTTTGAGACACTTTGGAGTTCGGATACTTTTCACCAGACAGCGTTTTAAATGCCAAACAAATATTTTTCGTCACGAGAAAGTTAAAGGCAAAAAATGATAAAAATAGAGACTGCGAGACTTAGGAGGGATACTGTAATGAGCGATAATAAAATTATACTAGAGCACTTAAAATAAAATAATGGTAATTACATTTAACGATTTTAATTCTTCGTCGTACACTGGAGCACCCAATTAAGATAATATTTCTGACGTATTTGAAATTGCAGCAAAATATTCCAAATCTATTTCTTAAAAAAGTGTATCAGTAGAAAAATTTCAGCACTTTTTAATTTTTAATGGATCTTTTTAAAATAAGTATACTTAATTAGAGCAAATAACATTAATTAGCAATAAAATGTAAATGATATAATTGATAAGACTTTATGGCAAAATTATGTTAGGCTGTATAATTCTTTGCATGCTCTGGTATTTTTAAGCTCCACAGAATCCTTGTTGAGATCTTAAAATATATTCCAGAAAAATGTTTTCGGAACATTTTTCAAAAAAATAAACACTGACTTTCATTTAAAAGTACTTTTAAAAGCAATATTTATATAAATTCAGACTTATGTAGCAATAATTTTTATTGTTTTGTATAAAAAATGTTTTTCTTTTTCACTTAGAAGATTTTCTTAAGTAAATCTAAATATTTAAGACTTTTACTGCTTGAATTTAAACTTTGATAAGTAAGTGTTTTTAAACAAACTATCATTTTAAAAAAACAAATTGTATTACTTTTGTTAATAAATAAAAATAATAACATGTATTTGTGATAGATTAACTAAACTTAAATAGAGTAATTGTAATACTTTCTAAATGAAACATATATCAGGCCAAATAGGCTTCCTCAGTGCACTAATTTTTTTAAATTGCGAGGTATTCTAGTTTAAATTACAAGAACAGGCTAATACACAAGAAAATTAAATAATATGCCTTTTGGTAATAAGAAAAGAAAATAAACTTTATTTAAACAGCTTTTTAACAGTACGAACATCAACATCAAGCAAAATAAACTTTCAAAATAGATGTGCAATCTTCAACGAATTATAAAAAAATAGTGCTGCATGAAACTTTAATGCATCTTTTGATCAGTTATATAATAAAAAACGGAACAATTTTAGACAAAGAAAATAATACATTTTCGAAATCCTCTTTTAAGTTTCATTTTTTTTGTAATTTATTAATAGCATATGAGACCACCTCACCGTTGTTTTAGTATTTATGCAATTATTTGTCATCTGATTTTATATATTATTCATAATTTTCAGTTATATTTGTACATATTATTCCCATAAATATTTTAAGTCTCTTTCTCAGTAAACCTTTTCTTCTAACTTCATCATCCTTTTCTTATATTGCAACAATAAGTAATCTAGGCTTAAGTTACCATAACATTTTCCTTCCTAAATCTTCTTAGATAGTTTATTTATTTCCTTCCTTTACTTTGTGCCTTCAGCCTCTCTCTTATTCGGGAAATATCACAAGAAATAAAATATACTAAACTATTACTGAGTTCCTACCCGGAATGTGTTTTTTTTCTTCCTAAAAGCTCTAAGTGACGAATCAAACCCACTGAGATTCAAACAAAAATGGAACAATTCTGTTATTGTTCAACATTTATTGATTTCCTTTTCAATTGTGAGGATTTTAAAGGAGAATACATCAATGATGATTGTATTTTTTCTCGGTGAATTTTGAGATTTTTGTTGAAAATAAAAGCAGACATGTTTATATTTACATTATACTACACTTTTTTTTGTTATTTTTAAACTCTTTAATAGAACAATTTGCCATAATATAAAAAGGGAAGAGTTTGAGCGTAGGTGTCCAACACATCCTAGGAGTGTCACATTCTAGGAGATGCTGATGTGCTGCTCTTATAATTACTAAATATGAACGTTTAATGACTTTTGTCAGCCTTGAAAACTTCTAAAAAGTTCAAAAAATTCAATTCGGTTGTATCATTTGAATTTTTCTCATTACTTTAATATTATCCATTGTTATAAATCAAACTGTTAACTATTCTATTTTTTTTTCTTCAAAATTTCTTTTGCATTTACTAAATTTTTTTGTTTATCCTTAATACGGAACGTTGTTAGGATTTTCTTTTAAATTCAGGATCATTGAGCTAGAGTTCTGAAATTTGAACATCGTACCAAAAAAAATATATTGTTAGATTTACAGGAAACAATTGTCAGGTTAAAACTCTTTATTTCTCAGAAAAAAACTGTTATTTAAAAATAGACACCTGTTTCTTCAGCAGATACGTTCTGTTATTTTAACAAAAAGGAAACTCTGCCATTTTAACTTACTCAGTTCTTCTGTAACAAAACCTATATCAAATAACTCTATCATCATCGTGGTTGGTGCGACCAGTCGAGGATTCGAACTCGGATCTCCTCACTGGAAGACTCACGCTTTGTCCCCGGAGCTACAGCAGCTTTAGTGTCCCAATGTGAAAAAAACATGTTTTTTTTTTCTTTTTTAAACTCGTATTTATTGAAATGATATTTAAGTGGAAAACGTTAAAAACTGTAGTGGCCACCCATATAAAAATGAATGAGAAAAAAAAACTATATCTCTCGTTGTTGTTTCTAATGACACTTGCCAATACCAGCAGTACTGCTTTGTGAAACCAAGTGAATTTAAGGCAGAAGGTGCGTTTCTTGTTTTTCAATGGCGCCATCTATGGCCAGGAATACGACTTCAGCTACACGCGCGTCACAGCCCGTTTATAGGGCTGACCCATTCAGTCATACATATATCGTAATTTTGATCTGAACTAGAGAATGATCTATCTGCAATTCACTACATCCAGAGGTATGATTGATTAAGGGAACATGGAGGCCTTTGTGACCTGACAGATTTAACATGCACTAGTTACCATTGTCTGCACGGGGAGTCTCCTACCGGCGGGGATCGAAATCACGATCTCTTGGACCTCTTGGCCCAACACCCTACCAACAACCCTATCCCAGCCTAAAAATTATATCTAAAGAAATATAATAATCGGGCAGAGTGTAAATTTCACAATAGAATCGTGATTCAATTACAGTTTTATGTTTAAAATCATAAAAAAATTGTTGAAAAAAAAAACATGTTTAAGAAATAACCCTAAAAGAATTCGACAAAAGGTATAGTTACCGTACGGTAAGCAAAACTACCTTGCAGAAACTGAAATTTGAACAGACAGTTTTAATCCGCTTATGATTAGTACGCAAAACAGGGAAAAACCGTTTTGTCCAATACATATAGAGAAAGTCTTTACAAAAAGGCGGGAGCAAAACGGGCAAAAAGGAACAATTTTAATCTCCGATCCTAAAAACCTTTTGATATTTTCAATTAGTCGGTTCAGGAGAGATACTTGAAACTCGTAACATTATTCATTGTATTAAACTAAACTACAGATGATTCTGTTTAGGAGTGATCTTAGTGTTTATCAGACCTATCGAGTCAGTAATTGAAATGTTAGAATAAAACTCCGACTCCGATCTTTCCTAAGAACTCGACTCCAACTTATACTCAATTAAAATTTCCCCCAAACACAAGGAAAGTATCAATTGTTGCGATATAGACTTTTATTAACTTTTTTGTTACGTTAATTAATATTTCAGTTTAATTTATATTAGTCTTTTATTAACTTTTTTGTTACATTAATTAATATTTCAGTTTAATTTATATTAGTCTTTTATTATA